GAAGTTTTGTTAAAACAAATTATGCTTAATAAATAATTTAATAAAACTGCTAAATTACATGTAATAACGATAAGTTGTATTATTTTGTTCATGATAATAAATAATAAATTGCACGTGATATGTAAAGCAATAATAATAATAATATGATTATATTCCTAACCTCAACCTTTATGATTTATTTTATCAATACATTTTGATAGATTTTTTTTGTGTACCTGCTGCGAAATATAAATATATGCTTAATTATAGTTTAATAATAAATATTTAAGCTTTAATATATAATTTTAACACAAAGAATTTTGTATTTGTTTGAGAAATATTTTTTCAATACTTTATAAATTATAATAAAGGACTTTAATTAAAGGATCAATAAATTAATAATAACAACCTTTGATACAAAGAAATGTCACACAATATAATAAATACTAAACGCCTAATAAAATAAAATAAAATAATTTATTGTCACAATTGATTTATTATTAGTTGAATTTAACTATTCATACATCTATTAAATTATTATTTAGTTAATTTAGAAAGCTAACATAAAATGGTAACATTAAAAGTAGCCACAGCCGATGTAAGTTGAAACTAAATATTACTACACATTAAATTAAAACTGTAATAGATTCTATAAATTATGTAATTAAAAAATCAAATTAAAAATGTAAATTGCTGGACAGATACCGCCGTTTGTATATTTACGTGAAGTAAACGGCACATGGATTATGAACAGAGGCATTGAAGCTGAGCTCCTGCACCTCATGAGCCAATACCTCAACTTTTCTATACAATTACTTAAATGTGATAATCTGGGCGTCAAACTGGACAACAATACATGGACTGAACTCTTCGGGCTAATTGCCAATAAGGTATGCAATTATGCATTTAAAGTTAATCATTAAGTTTTATTTGTCGCAATTTCTATTGTAAATTATTAGTGTTAATTAATTAAATGCGATCATAATGCAACAAATAGGAGGCTGACATTGGTTTGTCGGGTATAAGCGTAACAGAGCAGCGCCGGGAAGTGTCTGAGTTTACTGAATCTCATTTCATAACTGGTGTCACATTTATAACTCGTAAACCAAAACCGACGCCAATAATGACACTAATTATCAAACCTTTCGACGAATACATTTGGTTTTGTGTTATAATAGCGTTATTTGCAATTATAATCTCTATATATCTCATACAATACGTGCGATACGATAGATGTAAAATAAGTATAAAGTGGACGGTTGTAGAGATTGTATTGCGACAGAATTCAAGTCTTCCACTTATACCCGGCTCATTGCGACCCGTGTTTACGGGCTGGTTGTGGGCGTGTCTGGTGCTCACCTCCAGCTATAGTGGGTGTCTATACTCTCTCATGTCTTTCCCAACCCGTGTTAAGACCATTAATACAGTGGAAGAGTTGGCCGAAGCGCAGAGGGAGCACAGAGTTCGGGTGATTGCCACCACCAGCGATGCTTATTATGATATGATCAGGGTATGTATACAGTTGTTGTTAATAATTAATATAACAAAAATATGTTTCCGTATTCGCATTACAAGAACTCAAAGACAGGTTTAGGTCAGTATTTGGCNTGCCAAAATCGGGAAAAATCGGGAAAATAAAACTTATATATTTTAAGGCTATTATGACCCCTAAACTAATGGTATGTAATTCCCGATGATTTTGTTAACTATTTTTCTTCGGGAATTCCCGAAATTTTGAAGCCTTAGTTATCAGTTATAACTTATAACAAAAACTTATTTCAATTAATTTTGTTGTCATTTTTGATTCTATGAATCTAAACAATAATGACCATGGTGATGTAGAGTTTGTCGAAATCATGTGATAAATTGCGTTCACATCCCGGTTCCAGTTATTATGATAATGAAAGGGGCGAATGTAAGGTAAGACCACTTCCAAAGGATACACTATTTTTATATAAGACATTTATTACACATTTTCAATTCATCAACAAAATCCTTGTTATTAATTGTCAAAAATGACATAATAATTAATACATATTTAGTTAAACATTAACTAAATATATTGTATATTAATTATTATTATTAAAATTACAATTCAGTATCAGGAGTGCTATAAAAAGCTGAGTCACACCAAAGAGTTTAAGGATTTAAACAAACAGTTGGATTCATTGCCTGAAGAGACCAAAGCCAAGAAGGCTTATGAGAGATATGTAAGTTTATTAACAATAGACTATCATATTTAATAGATTTATTTTTAATTAGCTTAATAATTACTCAATTGATAGATATTTTATTTGTAAATACTTAAGTTTATATTTGACATTTTAAAAGAAGTTGTTTTAATTAACTTTTATTTATTTCAGATTTGTATTCGTAAAGCACTTGGACTTAAGGTTTAAATAACGGGTTTACCAATATATACTAGTATCTAATTGACCAAAAAAGCAACAGACACAATTTCTATTTACATGAATAAAGTAAAAAACAAACTATTTTCATGAATATAGAAATTTATTTCTTTTTAAGAATATTTTGTTGCACACAATCTGTGTATTAATAAAATATAATATTTCTGTTATAAATACAAACACAGCGCTAATTATACCGATCATGAAAGCAAATATAGCGCTATTTAATTGCGATAAATATATTGGTATGAAGTTGTGATTGTCTTGATTTACATTTGAATTCATGTCAATGTATGTATGAATTGCATTGAAGTCAATGGATATCTGTCTCATCTCAACAGCTCTCCAATAGTCTATAAAACCGGACTTTTTAACCGACGCTATGCTATAAATGATAACAAGTATATCCTATTTATAAACTATAGTTAATTAACAAAATGGACAACACATACAATCTATTGACAGCGATCTTGTGCTCAAAGTCCTTACGCATGGGAACCGCAAGTATATCGCGAAACAGTACAGAATCCTCGGACTCGGGCGGTATGTAAAAGCTATCGGCGCCCGACTTAAGCATTTCGTACTGTAAGGCCTCGCGAAACGTAATGAACGCCAACTCCTTATCGCTAGTCTTCACGGCGTCCACAGCTTTGCCGTCGGTTTCGCTGCCAATCAAATCACTCGCCAAATACTGACCTAAACCTGTCTTTGAGTTCTTGTAATGCGAATACGGAAACATATTTTTGTTATATTAATTATTAACAACAACTGTATACATACCCTGATCATATCATAATAAGCATCGCTGGTGGTGGCAATCACCCGAACTCTGTGCTCCCTCTGCGCTTCGGCCAACTCTTCCACTGTATTAATGGTCTTAACACGGGTTGGGAAAGACATGAGAGAGTATAGACACCCACTATAGCTGGAGGTGAGCACCAGACACGCCCACAACCAGCCCGTAAACACGGGTCGCAATGAGCCGGGTATAAGTGGAAGGCTTGAATTCTGTCGCAATACAATCTCTACAACCGTCCACTTTATACTTATTTTGCATCCATCGTATCGCACGTGTTGTATGAGATATATAGAGATTATAATCGCAAATAACGCTATTATAATACAAAACCAAATGTATTCGTCGAAAGGTTTGATAATTAATGTCATTATTAGCGTCGGCTTTGGTTTACGAGTTATAAATGTGACACCAGTTATGAAATGAGATTCAGTAAACTCAGACACTTCCCGGCGCTGCTCTGTTACGCTTATACCCGACAAACCAATGTCAGCCTCCTATTTGTTGCATTACATAATAAGCATCGCTGGTGGTGGCAATCACCCGAACTCTGTGCTCCCTCTGCGCTTCGGCCAACTCTTCCACTGTATTAATGGTCTTAACACGGGTTGGGAAAGACATGAGAGAGTATAGACACCCACTATAGCTGGAGGTGAGCACCAGACACGCCCACAACCAGCCCGTAAACACGGGTCGCAATGAGCCGGGTATAAGTGGAAGACTTGAATTCTGTCGCAATACAATCTCTACAACCGTCCACTTTATACTTATTTTACATCTATCGTATCGCACGTATTGTATGAGATATATAGAGATTATAATTGCAAATAACGCTATTATAACACAAAACCAAATGTATTCGTCGAAAGGTTTGATAATTAGTGTCATTATTGGCGTCGGTAAACCAAATGCTCAATATTTACACTGTGGTCAATACTTTACTCTAAGTCATTTGAGTCTGTGAAGGGCCGCGACGAGACAATGCGAATATGGGCTGTTTGGTTACAGTCGGAGGATAAACAACGTAAATGATCGCATTTAATTAATTAACACTAATAATTTACAATAGAAATTGCGACAAATAAAACTTAATGTAATTGAAATTTACGTATTAACGTATGGAATAACCGTTAATCGGGCTTCTCAAGTCAGGTACATAACAACAGGTCAAACTGCGGGTCTAATAGTGTAAATTCATTAACATATCTTTTCAACTCCATACGGCTCATGAGGTGCAGGAGCTCAGCCTCAATGCCTCTGTTCATAATCCATGTGCCGTTTACTTCACGTAAATATACAAACGGCGGTATCTGTCCAGCAATTTACATTTTTAATTTGGTTTTTTAATTACATAATTTATAGAATCTATTACAGTTTTAATTTAATGTGTAGTAATATTTAGTTCAACTTACATCGGCTGTGGCTACTTTTAATGTTACCATTTTATGTTAGCTTTTTAAATTAACTAAATAATAATTTAATAGATGTATGACTAGTTAAATTCAACTAATAATAAATCAATTGTGACGATAAATTATTTATTTTAATAGGCGTTTAGTATTTATTATATTGTTTGACGTTTCTTTGTATCAAAGGTTGTTGTTATTAATTTATTGATCCTTTAATTAAAGTCTTTTATTATAATTTATAAAGTATTGAAAAAATATTTCTCAAACAAATACAAAAGACTTTGTGTTAAAATTATATATTAAAGCTTAAATATTTATTATTAAACTATAATTAAGCATATATTTATATTTCACAGCAGGTACACAAAAAAATCTATCAAAATGTATTGATAAAATAAATCATAAAGGTTGAGGTTATGTATATAATCCTATTATTATTATTACTTTACATATCACGTGCAATTTATTATTTATTATCATGAACAAAATAATACAACTTATCGTTATTACATGTAATTTAGCAGTTTTATTAAATTATTTATTAAGCATAATTTGTTTTAACAAAACTTCTGTTATAAAAACAATTACCGAAACCGTAACTCCAATAACATTCATAATCATAGCACTCCTTAATTGACTTAAATAAATGGGTTTAAATTTATGTTTAGATTTTTTCTTAATATTGCCATGGTAAATCGCCAACTCATTTATTGCCTTAAATTCAACCGACATTCTTCGCATTTCGCTCACTTTCCAAAAGTCCATGAGTCCAGACTTTTTCACACCTGATATGCTTTTCAACAGAAAATAATTAAATGGTAAATCGCCAACTCATTTATTGCCTTAAATTCAACCGACATTCTTCGCATTTCGCTCACTTTCCAAAAGTCCATGAGTCCAGACTTTTTCACACCTGATATGCTTTTCAACAGAAAATAATTAGAAAATTATTAGTAATAATTTATTACTAATTCTTAAATGCTTACAATTTATTAATTTCATTTTTATATGGAAAGTCTTTGCGAAAGCCAACTGTTAACAGATCCATGAATAGTGTAGACTCGTCGGTGTCGGGCGGTATATGAAGCCGAGTGGCGCCCGACTTATACATGTTGTATATGAGTGCCTCACGAAACGATATTTGGGCCAATTGTTTGTCGCTCTTCGCAATCATATTAATGCCCGCAATAGTATTGGACACACCTTTCAACCCCTTTTTTAACTCCATCCCAACCCCTGTATTAGATTTCTATTCAAAACAGTTAATCGATAATGAATTAATTCAATTTTCTTACCATAATCATATTATAATATGCGCCATTCTTTGTGGCCATTACTTGTATTGTATGCTGTGATTGAGCGGTGGCCAACTCTTCCACCGTATTGATAGTCTTCGTACGGGTGGGAAAAGCCATCAATGAGTACAAACAGCCGCTATAACTGGATGTGAGTACAAGAGTAGCCAATAGCCAAAACACCATCAGTAGCCGCAGTCTGTGTGGTATACATACAGGACATTGTTGACGGAGAGCCGTATTAACCACTAACCACTTGATGTCCATAAAATTGTCTCTCACGTCACTATCGATACACTTTAATAAATATATTACAACAATGAAAATAATGAATGCACTTATAATACAAATCCAGGTATAGATATCAAAAGGTTTTGCAATAAGTGTTAGGATTAGTTTAGCTTTTGGCCGACGGGTAATAAATGTGACGCCCGTTTGAATGTGTGGCTGCGAGAAATGGGCCGCATCTGACCGCTCATCGGTTAGGGATATACCGCCTAACGCTATGTCAGCCATCTATACATAAACATCAGTTTAGAGACAATTAATTGTTAATCTAAATAACATGAAACATAAAATACCGTTTGATTAATAAGTCCCAAAAGGCCAGTCCAGGTATTGTTTGCCTGTTTAGCGCCCATTGCATAACATCTAATGAGACGATACGTGAAATTGAAATGACCACTCATTAGATGAAGGAATTGGTATTCAATGCCTCTGTCCATAAGCCAGGATGAGTTCACTTCATGCAAGTATGTAAACGGTGGTATCTGTTTGCCACCACATCAAGGTGATTTCATTTAATTAAACAAATATTTATGCAAATTTATAAATAATTTAAATTGCTAAATTTGAATTACATGTGCTGTAGCAATCGTAAATGTGTTTGCTCTCATTGTTGCTAATTACTAATATTGCCTTGATGCAAAATATAATTTACATTAAAATAAATTGTGTTGCGAAATATTTCTCTATAGACATACACCTTGATGGAATTGCAACAAAGTCGAGTACACAAATAAAAAGATTTTATTTAGTAATAATGGTTATTACAAAAATATCAACTTATTTATTTAACATTCAACAACAATTGTAAATATATTTGTAAATATATGTAAACAGTTTGCAAATAACAAGTAACTTTAGCACTTATTTTGTTATAAAATATTGCAAAAATGTTTACTTTTGTAATATTTAAATATACACTACAAATATAAAGTATCTACATAGACGTTTGTTATCAGTACATAAAAACTATTTGATGTAGGCTTCCAAACTTTTCAGTGTTGTGTAATATAATTATCAAGTTATTAATCGCATTTAAATAT